ATAATGGAAAAGCCTTTAGAGATGATGTTGTTCAGCCCCCTCATTTTTCAGACAAGAGAACTTGCTTAGAGATAATAAGTAAATGATACACAATTATACAACAAAACTTCTTTGAGCCACAACACGTTGTTTTTCCTGTGGGAGCATTTAGAGTTTCCAGGGAGCTGGGCTGCAGACTGGTGAAGCTTTAGTGCCCAGATCCACAGCCTTGCTGCTTTCCCCCACCTCAGCTTGAGGACAGAATGCCATTCTCCTCCCTGCTGGGGTGGATTTTTCTCCCAGAACCAAAGGAGGCACTTCCCTTCCTTAGTCTGACATTTTTGCATTTTGCCCTTACTGACCTGCTTTTCTTTCTTTCTTTCTTTTTTTTTTTTTTTGAGACAGAGTCTCGCTTTCTTGCCCAGGCTAGAGTGAGTGCCATGGCGTCAGCCTAGCTCACAGCAACCTCAAACTCCTGGGCTCAAGCGATCCTCCTGCCTCAGCCTCCCGAGTAGCTGGGACTACAGGCACAAGCCACCATGCCCGGCTGATTTTTATATTATATATATTAGTTGGCCAATTAATTTCTTTCTATTTTTATGGTAGAGACGGGCTGGTTTTGAACTCCTGACCTTGAGCAATCTGCCCGCCTTGGCCTCCCAGAGTGCTAACTGATCTGCTTTTCTATATCTGGATCCCCATCAACCCAGAGTGCAATGGATTTGGAAGCTACTTCGCTGGGGGAGGAGGGTGGGAACTGCAACTTTCTGGGTGTGTGCAAGGGATTTCCTGTCTAACACATCCCGCTTCTCAGGTGACCCGGCGCTTCGGGATCCCAGGGCTGAAGAAAACCATGGACTGGTTTGGCTACTATGGAGGCCCCTGCCGGTCCCCACTGCAGGAGCTGAGGCCCGCAGATGAGGAGGCACTGCGCGCAGATTTCACCAGCAATGGCTGGCTCTGAGAGCAAGCAGGGTCTATGTGGGCCTGAGCCCATCTCAGCCTCCTGCCTTGCACCTGCAGCCTAAAGAGGAGCGCGAGGGATTGGGGTAGAGGCTCCCTACTTCCACCCTCCAGGTAGCCTTCTGCAAGGCAAGCTCACGCACTTCTCCTATTCTCACAGCCCCATGACTTCTCACTTTTGTACCCTAAACTCTGTTTGTAGACACATTTACACTGGGAAGGAGCAACTTCTTACCTGCCTTTCCACTGTGGATGCTCTCCTGTGCCCTGAGGCACATGAAGGAGGATCCAGAGGGGAAGGGCAGAGGTGCAATTGCCACAGTAAGGGACTTTGTTTTACTGATGGGTGATTACTTAGACTTGGGGCTACAAACTGAGTCTGGTACAATGCAGCTGGAAGCCATGGCTGTGCCTAAGAACTCAAGTTCTGACTCCCTCCAGGGAAAGCAATAGGTTAGGAAATCTGATCAGGAAAGTGTCACTGGTCTTTGAAAGGTACCCCCAAGCTGCATTCCAGCCACAATGCCCTTTCTAAATCTACTTTCATTCATCCCATATTTGCCTCTATAGCCTTGATTCTAACCCTGAGTACATAGACAGCCCAGTGGCTTGTCATATTGGTAAATAATGACACCTGGTGGCTAAATGTTACATTCTCAACTATCTTGGCCAGCCTGGGTCTGAAACACTAGGGAAGGGGACTTGGCCTGAGACAAGGTTATCCTCTTGCCTATAGGCACTTGGCTTTTATATCTTTTATTATTATATATAAACACTTTTCCTTCGATACCATAGGCCTGTGTAAAAAATAAATAAAAAATCATCACTTTGTTACTATAATAAAGTTTAATAAGTAAAACTAATGTGGCTATGTACCGATGGACACTCCACTGCTACGCAGATCTTAGGTTTCCTGGCCAGATGTCAAGAACCTTCCTAGAGGCTGGGCGTGGTGGCTCACTCCTATAATCCTAGAACTCTGGGAGGCTGAGGTGGCTGGATCGCTCAAGATCAGGAGTTCGAAACCAACCTGAGCAAGAGCAAGACCCCATCTCTACTAAAAATAGAAAGAAATTAACTGGCCAACTAAAAATACATACAAAAAATTAGCTGGGCATGGTGGTACATGCCTGTAGTCCCACCTACTCAGGAGGCTGAGGCAGAAGGATTGCTTAAGCCCAGGAGTTTGAGGTTGCTGTGAGCCAGGCTGACACCACAGTACTCTAGCCCAGGCAACAGAGTGAAACTCTGCCTCCAAAAAAAAAAACCTTCCTAGAGGCAATTGAGCTCCTGTGGTCTGCCTTTTCCCAGCTCTGAGAGACACCCTAACAATACTGACCAAATAGGCATTAGATTAGTGCAGCCTGGGAAAGGGTAAGAAGCCGAAGAGAGCAATTGAGGTATTTATTAGCCAGGCATGCGGTGGCACATGCATAGTCCCAGCTACTTACTTGGGAGGCTGAGGCAGAAGGATCGCTTGAGCCCAGGAGTTTGAGGTTGCAGTGAGCTATGATGATGTCACTGCACTCTAGCCCAGTGACAGAGTGAGACCTTGTCTCTCTCTTTCTCTCTCACACACATACACACACAGAGTTATTTAGAAACACTTAGCACTTTAATCAAAAAGGCTGCTTTCTCCAAAATGTTTAACCCTTTTCAGTGGTAATATCTGACTAATGGCAGAAAAACTGAGATCTATATTACCCATGATAAAGAAAGTGTAAGGTCAGAGAGACAAACAAATCCTTGTTTGGGGCAGAGGCCAGTGGAGAGAATGTAAAAGATCTCAATCTTCAACTAGAATCAGACATCTGGATGGCACAAACTTGGGGCTTTGCCCACGGGTCCTATCGCAAGCAACTCTCAGATGAGCTGTACTCAGAGGAGAATCAGGTTTAGGGCTGGGGGGAAAGTTAGGGCCATGGAGGCAGGCTTGTGTACTGGTTAAGAGCTCAGTCTCTAGGCTTAAACAGGTCTGGGTTTAAGTTCTACAATCTGCCCCTTAAGAGTCTTTACCTTGGTGAAACTACTTAACGTCCCTGGGCCTCACATGTAATACAGGGATGGTAACAGCACCTTCCTCCCAGGGCTGTGGTGAGGACTGAATAAGATCATGTGTACAAAAGGGTTAGCAGGTGAGTGTTCCACTGCTCTATCCATTGCAAAGAAAGGGAAACCCAGGCAGGAGCTGACTTTCCATAGGTAACCCATGACATGTGCCAATAACAGGTCTCAGGGCAAGAGGAGCCCAGTGCAACGGGAATTGGAATTAGAAAGATGGGCTACAAATCCCACCCAGCTCTAGGGCCCTTACTAGTTTGGGCAACCTGAGCTTCTCTGATACAGAAAAGAAGTTCATACCTCCTGCTCTTTAGAGGTTTTGAAAATTAGATATTTTGTCGTAAAGTGTGCAGCATCAGTTCCAAGCCCCTGATTCCTGACTAACTTTTAGAAACAGCAAATGGGTTTTCATGAGGCTGCAGGACCAGAAAGTCAGGAAAACCAGGTATAGGCAGTTCTGCTGATTTGTTTATTCTTCATAAACACGTTTCTACAGTACAATTCAGAGAATAAACAGAGGCACACGGCTATAATTTCCACCACGATCTGCTGTTGAGGAGGCATCAAGTGTGAGGACGGGTGCCTGGGGGGGGGCAGGTTTGAGGCACAGGGTAACAGGGGGCCTCTGTGATGGACTGTGCAGGGATCCCATCAGTCAAGGTCTCATCCCAGGCCTGACAGTCAAGGCTGAAAAGTTACAGTGAACCAAGTGAGCCAAATGCTCTTTCGGTTCCCTGCAGTCCTGGGGTGGGTCCAATTCTACCCTAACCCCAGGCGCAGAGGTGAGTCCAATCTGCTGGTCCACTGAGAAGGAACTGTGTCAGCCCAGGCCACCTTCGTAAATTCAGTTCACTTGGTGGTAGGGCCTGAAGTGGCCCGAATATTCTGCCCTTTGCCCTGGAGTAAGTCATGAATACAAGTTAATAAGATTACTGTTTACATCACCTTCTTTCTTGGCTAGCTCATAAAAGGATCCTGTCCCATATCTAAGGAAGGAGAGAGGCACAAGCAGGGATTATCTGCTGTAACTCAGTGAAGGAAGACAGCTTGTCAAGTCAAGGGAGAAGGAAACAGCACTCTTACTTCCCTCCCAGGGGCAATAAGAACAGATGAACAACAGAGTAGAAGCCTGGAGCCCCATGATTCCAAGAAGCAGTGAAAGAGGGGCACAGAAAAGCTCTGGCTTGACTTTCACAGGGCTGCTATATTGTCTAAGCCACCCTTATAGTGTTCCTTTTTTTTTTTTTTTTTTTTGAGACAGACTCTCGCTTTGTTGCTGCCCAGGCTAGAGTGAGTACCGTGGCATCAGCCTAGCTCACAGCAACCTCAAACTCCTGGGCTCAAGCAATCCTCCTGCCTCAGCCTCCCGAGTAGCTGGGACTACAGGCATGCACCACCATGCCTGGATAATTTTTTCTATATATTTTTAGTTGGCCAATTAATTTCTTTCTATTTATAGTAGAGACGGGGTCTTGCTCTTGCTTGCTCAGGCTGGTTTCAAACTCCTGACCTCAAGCAATCTGCCTGCCTCAGCCTCACAGAGTGCTAGGATTACAGGCATGAGCTACCACGCCTGGCCTATAGTTTTCCTTATTTCTCCAGGGTAGCACAAGCACTGGCCCTAAGTTGGGGCTAGGTTCATCTGCCCCAAATGTAGGCAGAATGAAGACTCTGTATCACATGGCAGAAAAGGAAGTATAACAGAAGGCCACAGCAGACTCTGCCTATCCCGAGGAAGTAGAAGACTACAGAAGACACTAGGTAACCAAAGGTCTTAGGAACAGAGAGTATCAACAAGTAAGAAAAGGCAGCTCATTTGTCCTCTAGCACATAGGGTCAGGGAAAGACAGAGTGCTAACAACTGCTGTAGGGTCTATGGGCCAGAATCCTCAGCACTTTTCCATGATCAAATTCCTGATCGGCAGGTGACAGAGCGCATCACAGGCTTCTGCTCCATGGTCATTGTCATCTCATCTCAGATCAGGTTCATTTGTTTACCTTGAGTGAACGACAGGAGCATTGGCTTTACCCAATACTTGTCAGCTGGGGCCCAGTGCCCCATCAGGCAGTGAGATTTCTGGCTGACTTGGAGGCACTCTGGGCCCGCTGGACAACCACAGAGCACTTCTCACGCCGCAGCAGCTTGTTGTTCTCAAAAAGACCTTCATTGCGAGGGATTCCATGAGAGCCGTCAGGGAAAGTCAGCAGGCCTTTGAGGAGGACAGAGAAAATATAAGAGTGACAATGGCATTCAACATCTCAGAGATCAGCTTGATATGCAAAGGCTGAGAAAAACCCACAGCTCTGTTTGGGAGGACACTGTTGGTGAGTTGGATAGGCATTAGGGCAAGACCACTATCAATTGCTGGACATCCACAAAAGAATTAAAACCTAAAAGGTATGCCTATAATCCTAGGACTCTGGGAGGCCAAGGTGCGCAGATCATTTGAGCTCAGGAGTTCGAGACCAACATGAGCAAGAACAAGACCCCATCTCTACTAAAAAAAATTGAAAGAAATTATCTGGGCAACTTAAAATATATAGAAAAAATTAGCTGGGCATGGTGGCGCATGCCTGTAGTCCCAGCTACTTGGGAGGCTGAGGCAGGAGGATCGCTTGAGCCAAGGAGTTTGAGGTTGCTGTGAGCTAGGCTGATGCCACGGCACTGTAGCATGGGCAACAGAGTGAGACTCTGTCTCGAAAAAAATTAAAAAAAAACTAAACTAAAAAGGTATATTTCCACCTATGTTGTACTCACCTAAGTCACCCATTCTGCTGGGTTGCAACTTACCAAAACCATCTACTCTGCCATTTTTAAATTCCCCCTCAAAGGTCATGTTGTCATGTCGAATGAAGACTCCGACGCCATTAAACTTGCCCTGGGCAAACTCCCCCTCGTACCTGCAGAAACACCAAGAAGTTAGCCTTTAGCGGCAAGTTAACCGTTTAGGTTAACTGAGTCAAGCAGCTGCCAGTACGTGTTATTTACTAATGCCCAGAAGCAAAGCTGATTCTGCTTGTCTCATAGCTCTACCCACCCATTCCCAACCAGCAGAGAACGGTCAGAGAGTATGTATGATATGAGGCCCTAATCTCAAGAAAAGAAGATAAGAAGTGACTGGAGGTAGGGTGGAAGGTCATTCGCCTCCTTGACATTTCAAATTCTAGATCTATTTTAAAAATAACCAATAAAAGAATTGCTTACTCCTTGCCTGTGTTCTGTAGGACCTGGGACAAGCTCAGGGTTGACCATTTATTTGCCAACGCCCTATTTTTATATCAGAGCCTCCCCTGTTTAAAGCTGAGAAAAGAATGACCTAATACCCACCTTGAGCCATCTGAGAAGGTCAGTACCCCAAAGCCATTAAAGAGTCCATTCTCAAAATGACCCAGATAGGTGCCACCATCTGCAAACATCAGTTGACCAAAACCATGTCTGCGACCTGAGCAAAGAGAAGGACAGGTGTCAGGTTGGACTGGGGCAGCTTCAGGGTCCCTTCTCACTCATCTAGCATCCCTTACCTTCTGTCACCCTATCCACAAAGGAGAGCAGAGAAGCAGCTCCTGGGGCCTTCCCATCTTATGTCACAACCATCCAATTTGAAGCAGGTCACTCCAAGTATGAATGATAAGAGAGCACTTAAAAATAACAACAGCTAATGTTTATAATGCCTTTACTATGTGCCAGCCATTCCTCTAAGCGTTTTGTATTTATTATCTTATTTCATCCTCATGATAACTTTATGAGGTAAGTACAATACTACTTTTTGGGTGTTTTGTCTTTTTGAGACAGAGTCTCACTCTGTTGCCCAGGCTAGAGTGCTGTGGCATCAGCCTAGCTCAAAGCAACCCCAAACTCTTGGGTTCAAGCGATCCTCCTGCCTCAGCCTCCTGAGCAGCTGGGACTACAGGTATGTGCCACCATGCCCGGCTAATTTTTCTATTTTTAGTAGAGACAGGGTCTCACTCTTGCTCAGGCTGGTCTTGAACTCCTGAGGTCAAGCGACTCTTCTGCCTTAGTCTCTGAGTGCTAGGATTATGGGCGTGAGCTACCGCGCCCAGCCACAGTACTATTTTTATTCCCATTTTACAGATGGGGAAACTGAGGCAAGAAGAATCTAAATAACTTAAGATCACAGAGCCCTAAGTGGTAGAACAAGAAGGCAAATGCAGCAAGCAGCCTCGTAGCCCTCAACATTTACCTATGTTGCCTCTCTGAGAAAAAATAAAAGTACCCATTGGCACCGTGAAGCTACTAACAGACTGACCAGCAACATTGGTTTGAACTTTGTTATGTCAATAGGGTTGTGCTTACTTACTGAACTGACCAGAAAACAGAACAAGAGGCAAGGGGAGCAATCATGCCCTTCAAACAGTGTAAGGGGTTCTTTTGAGGGATAGAGACTGCTAGCAGGAAGTCTCTCCCCTCACAGCCCATATTAAAGGGGACAGCAGGTATTTGGGAGGCAGGAGGAGAGGCCTGGGATTGAAGGAAACAAGGTCACATCACACCTGTACAATTTCTCAAAGCTCAAGAATTTATCAGCGGCAGGGATCTAATGTGAAAAGAATGAGGCACGTGTCTGGTAACAGCATGAACTGCCCTTCACCCAGGTAAGCGTGAAGACTCCAGTTTCCTCAGAGCAGTTCTTGGCTTGCTACGACTGGACCCATGAGACTTTAAAGTCGTTAGACTGTGTTTCCAAACTGAACAACATTAAATTGTTTCCTGGATAGTCTCAGGCTACAAAGAATTTTACTATTCCCATGAACAGATACTTTCAAACATAACGAGCTGTCACAGGAAATGCAAGGCAATGAATGTCATTTGTTCTTGGGTGTCTGCCCTAATTTCCAGATCTATAACTTCTTATGATTCACTGAACCAAGTCATTGCAATGAATTCTGTACTGTCTAATTTACAGGCACTTAATTCATTTTAGTCTGCGGGGTACGTTAGCACTTATTTAAAACATTCCTAAATAATACCACTAAAAGATGAAAGCATGTTAAAACACTGCAAATTTAGAAATGGAAAGATATAACTCATTCTTGGAGGTTAGATTAACAAAAGCATTTTCTAATGTCTTTATTTAATCCTAAAATAGAATAAAGGAAAGGCACTATCTGGAATTAAATCCTGGAGTTGGAAATGAAGATCCGTAAAGTTGGCTATATATTCTGATGTATTTGTCCTCCAGCAAATGAAGTGTTCGTCACTGGATACCCTCCAGGGCTCCTCACCCTCCTTCCACTCGCCACGGTATTCCTCCCCACTGGAGTAGGTGAAGGAACCTTTTGTCAGGGTCATGGTGACAGCTTACAGAAGAAAGGGATGAAAACTGCAGGAAATAAGCAAAGGAGAACCACTGTCATGGGATAGCTGGAGGAGAAGACTGCAAAGCAATTTTTAGATACATTCTAAAGGCTACCAGCCTGGCAAGTATATGTACCTTGGGTACATTTAACAAAAATATCCACCTCTCCAACCATCACCACCACCATCACCATCCTCTCCACCTCTGCCCAAGCACTCTTATCCTCACATTGTCTTAAAAGTTTCCAGTCAGTTCCTATTTTCTATGATCTGGGATGGAAATGGAGCATGAATCTACAGTTGATACATAAAATACAGTCTCTTCCCTTGATGAGTTTACAATCTAATTGATAAGACTGACAAGTTGAAACACTGAATTACAGCAGAGATAATGTGATCAAGGGCCAACTTGGATGGCAGAAATTAAAGACAAGGGATGGGAAGAATTTAAAACCAACAGTGGAGAAGGCAAAGGGCAAGCCAGACTGAGAACACATGGGATGAGAGCACAAAGGGCAACATAAACATGGGATGTTCAATGGGAAAATAGGAAGCCTGGTCTTACTACAGCAGAGGGCTTATTTAGGAAGAAACAGGAAATAAATTTTTGTAGGTACACTTAGCCAAAATATATACATATATATATATATATATATATATATGTATGTAGAGATGAGGGTCTCACTATGTTGCCCAGGCTGATTTTTAACTCATGGGCTCAAGAGATCCTCCCGCCTTGGCTTCCAAAGTACTGGGAGTACAGGTGTGAGTCACTGTGCCCAGCCTCAGCCAAAATCTTAAATCTGAAAAGAACCTCATCCATTTAGTCCAAACTCTTTCATTTTATAGATGGAGAAGTAGAAGACCAGAGAAGTTATGAAGTTTGTTGGTGGCCAAGTTGGAACTAGCACAAAAGCTTTTCCTGACTGTGGCTAGTTCTTTTTTCCTGTACGGTAGAGTCTCTGCTTTTAAGTCAGGCTAGCTTAAGGGCACCGCTGAAAGCTAGGCAGAAGAGTTTATAGCAGATAAGGTGGGGAAAACAAGACACCTCTGGGGTTTGTGAATAAGAAGGTAGTATGAGGCCAGGCGAGGTGGCTCCTGCCTGTAATCCTAGCTCTCTGGGAGGCTGAGGCGGGCGGATTGCTCGAGGCCAGGAGTTTGAGGCCAGCCTGAACAAGAGCGAGACCCCGTCTCTACTATAAAAATAGAAAGAAATTAATTGGCCAACTAATATATATAGAAAAAATTAGCTGGGCATCGTGGTGCATGCCTGTAGTCCCAGCTACTCAGGAGGGTAAGGCAGAAGGATTGCTTTAGCCCAGGAGTTTGAAGTTGCTATGAGCTAGGCTGATGCCACGGCACTCACTCTAGCCTGGGCAACAAAGTGAGACTGTCTCAAAAAAAAAAAAAAAAAAAAAGAGCGTAGTATGATGAAAGCCGTGTTTAAAGATGTTGCTGTGAGCTAGGCTGATGCCATGGCACTCTAGCCCAGGCAACAGAGCAAGACTCTGTCTCAAAAATAATAATAATAATAATAATAATAACAACTTTGGCCTTATATCATAATGATTTTTGATACAGATACCAAAAGCCCAGAAATGGTCTGATGTGAAAACAGCCAGGCCTGACCAAAGCAAGGCTTAGTGACATCCTCCACGCCCTGGCTCTGTCTCAAAGCTGTAGTTTCATCCCAGCCATGAGGACAGATGAGTTCTGAGAATTCCTGTGCTCTCAACCAAATATGGAAAAACATTCATTTCTAGCCTCATAATGAAGACTAGCTTTGTGAAAGCTCTTCTAGAGATGTTTGCCGGCCACTCCTGCAGGAGTTTTTCCCTTCTCCAGCTATCACTCAGGAACTCCCCATCCAGTATCTCTCACGTAGGCGTACCTGAGGTGAAGACCATTGTCTCCTTGTACTAGAACCTCTCCAAACCTCTGGGGGCTATTTTTTGAGAGGTGATGCAGGTACCTATTGTGCCATCTCTGTCCTATCAATGTCCCACGAGGTCAGCATCCAATTTCAGGCTCACAAGCCTCTTATCGTCAGCCCAGCATCAGAGTGTGCTGGGGTAGAGGTCAACATGACTCCATGGCAAATGCAACATTAATGAGAGGAAGAGAAGCAGTTTTCCATCAGATCTGCAGAAGAAACTCTTTCCAGTCCAGACAGGCATTTTGACAGCCACAGGTCCCCTTTGGCTCTTCCCAGAACTAATTAAGTCATATCACTAAGTCAGCTTAAGGTACAAATTTCATTCCTTCAAAATATGTCAGTCAGAATCTGAAGGGCTGTGTCTTCTACTAAATCTTATAATTAAAACACCATTCCAAAACATAAACACAAAGTCATTATTTATACAGGAAGATTATACGGGCATCTCCTTTAGATGTTTGGCAGTAGCTAACCAGTTTGTCTTCACTCAAAATCTGGAGTTATTGTAGTGAGATTTGAGGAATGTATTGACTACACAGGGGGTTGGGGGAGCATCCCTGTGTTTATTTATTTTTTCCTCAAGGTTATTTGCAACTTCCAAAGAACGGCATGCCATCTTGTTCTAAAGAGACCAGTAGAAGGTCCCTGAAAGAAGGGAATGTTTCTCCAGTTTGAGGATTATTTATGGACAAAGCACTAGCTCTCAAGTTGTAAACCAAATCACTCTTTTGGCATGCTGTTAGCTCTTGGGGACTATATCCTAAATATTTTAAAGAAGCCAGTAAAATTTGAAAGATTATCTTCTTAATAACAAATGTGGTGGGACTGTATTTCCAAAGATGTTGGCAATATCTTCTGTCTTACCTGTTTCATCTATAATTTGATCTTGCATTGACCCATTAAAAAGTGAAGTCTAACTCCCCTCGCCCTTGAAACTGAGCAAGCTTGTGACTGTTTCGACCAATAGAACACAATAGAAATGATGGTGTGTTCTGAGGTTAGATCATAAAAGGTGATGCAACTTCCATCTTACTCACTGGTATGCTCACACTTGGAAATCTGAGCCACAACATAAGAAAACCAACTACCCTGAAGCTAACATGCTGTGAAGAAGCTAAGCCACATAAGAGAGGCCATATGTTTGTGCTCTGTTGGCTGTCCTCCTCTCTGAATCATCCAATCCCAGGCATCAAGCACCAGTGGATGAGCTTTCAGATGATTCTAGCTCCCAGCCACTGAGCACGCATTCCATCTGAGATATCATGGAGTGGCCATGGAGTGGCAGAGAGTGGCCATCCCCATGGTGTGAAATAAAAATTCCTGACCCACAGAATCCATGAGCATCATATGGTTGTTTCAAGCTACTCAGTTTGGGAGTAATTTGTTATGCAGCAATAGTAACTGGAACACTACCTCTCAACCTAACCCTGCTACTATTCTCTCCTATGGTTTCCAACAGTATCTACTAAAAATTTCCATTCCTTTTTGATGTAGAGAAATATAGTAAATTCCCCTCAACAGATGCTTGTCAAAATGACGTCTATGTCTAAGACCACAATCAGAAGTGCTAATTAAAGGGAACACATGTAGAATCCATGGGTCTCAGGGCACAATTGAATACATGAAACTGCTACATGTTCCCAAATAATTCATTTTGTCACTATCTGGGACACTGTCAGGATTTTAATTTGACTTCTGTAATTAGCTATGCTAATTAATAGCTGCACAGTCACTGACCCCAAAAGAAATTTCACCAGTAACCACAGTCATTGAGACAAATCTAGTTTAATAAAGCACAGCCAGCACTGATGAAAAATGAAAAGCCCAACATTTTAATAAGGGATGCAAATGAGTATTTGCTTCAGTTATCCAAATAATCTCTTAAAGGAGAATAGATGGCCTAGGGGTTTAGGCTCCAGATATACACATGGAATCTAGTCACAAGCCAAGATGATTCATGCTTCTAAACACTCACCCACCCCTTCTGCACTCTCGATAGATGGGGTGCAAAGGATTAGTCCAAATATTTACATAAAAGAAAATTACTATTTTGTTCTTGTAAACCAATACACTATAAGTCTGCACAATAGACTATATTCCTGCTATCTTTATTTTCTTCTGCCCCAGACATTTCCAACTGGAATTCTGAAACAATAATGAGAATGTTTGTTTCCATCCTGTTTATCTTTTTTTAATTTTAAGACATGAAACCAATTAAAGAACTTTTAAGTATTCATAGTAACCTGTGTCCAAATTAAGAAGATTTTTAAAAACTAACACAAAGGGGAATACATTTTCAGTTAGAGAATATTGTTTGGAGACAGCCACCTTAACTACCCACATATACCTTCACATTTTCCCCCCAAAGCCACCCCTCCCATAGTAGGACAGTCTTGTCAAAGTTCTTTCAGTTATGAAGAAAGCTTTTACAGTCCTAAAGAGAAGATAATGAAGGCTTTGATGAACAAAGACTAGGCTTGTTATGAACCTAGAACAAAAATTCAAATATTCTTTTAAAAGTGTTTTTAAATGAGCTTGAAATAACTGTTTTTTAATTTTAAGTCTAAACTCCCCTTTCCCCATGTCAAAAGTAAACAAATATACCATTACTATACAAAAGTCTCATTTAGGAAGACCGTGGGGCGGTTAGAGCGAAAAGAGTAGAAGAAAATACTGACACCAGAAAGAAGGTTTTTATAAAAAGAAGACAATGACGACAACAACTTGGGGGTGATGGAAACTAAGGAGTAATACTATTCTATTTCAAAGGAAAGGAGAATGGCTGGGCTGGGCTCTGATACAGCGGGGTTATTCCTGCTGGTGCCTAAGCAGTTTGGCGATACCAGATGGCAGGGATGCCACCCATCAACTAATTGAGGCATCCCATTCCCCCGGCCTCGATATGTAGTAGTTCTTTTCACCCGAGTGTGATAGAGGCAGACCCCAGAGCAAACAAAGCCCTAGACCTCAACAAAGCAACACCTTCTCCCACGCCGTTTTTGCATTCTGGCCCCTCTCCTCCTAGTTACCCACGTCTGATCTACCGCCCCGACAGAGTCTAATGCTCATACAGGTCTGCCATTCCCTCCTGACGCAGCCCTGTGCACCCCGCTCGCTAACCCGAGAGCCGTGGGCTCTCCTGGGCCTCGACCCCCCAGCTCGAGACTGGAGGCCCGCGTGTGGGACCCCCACGGCAGCCACCCTACGGTGAGTGCGTCTGGGATGGAGCCGCGCCCCTCAGCTGGGTCACCACCTGCTGGGCACCCCAGTCCCTATCTGGCCGAGCGCACTCTCCCAGCCCTCTCCCACCCACGCCGCCTGCCAACCTGAGCTCGGCCTTTCGGGATGATAGTCACGTCCCAGAGCAGGGCTCCAATGGCCCGGACCTGTGCTCCGCGGGGCTCCCCGCCGCCACCTTCCTCTCCGCCACTTCCACCAGCGCCTACCCCACTTGACGCCGCCATCCCGTGCAGCCGCACTGAGCACAATTCCGGCTACCCATTGGCTGTTACCTAGGCAACCGGGAGCAACGCCACTCCCCATTGGCCCAGCCCGCCGCCACGCCATCTTTGTGCGGGGCGGAGTGTTCCGAGAGCCAAGTAGCTGAGAGAGGGGTAGGGCTGAACTGGCGGTCCTACCTCTGCAACCCAAATAAAGATAGAGGACCCAAGTCTCGCCTACCAGGAGACTGTCTAGCTGAAATGTTAACCCCAAACAAAATCAAACACGCGTCCGAAGCAACAGTGAACTCGATCGGCTCAAGCGGCCCGGACCCTGCCCGGATTCCCACTGTCTTCTAAGTGGCTCTGACGTGGAGTTTAAGATAGAACCTAACTCTGGCTTTAGAGAGGCAGCTTTGTAAATTGTAACGGCGCTGGACCGGGCAACTGCCCTTTAATAACCCTGTGCCAGACATTATGATATCAAGACACTTTTGCAATCATTATAGGATTTGTGTTGCTCTTGTCATTACCCAGATCCTTTCTGTTTAAAATACAACGCCAAGATTGGAGCAAATCTTCCCAAATACCATGCACACCAATGCGAGTATCCATGTGTTTATTGAACAATGTGAGTGCAGCATGATGCTAGGTTCTGTCGGACTTGAAAAGCCATGATTGCTGCTCTCATTGGACTCATTGCCTTATTCCATGCAGGTGGAAAAATCCAAGACTGTATTATTAAGAGTGAGCAATCACATGAAAAGAGTAAGCAAATTACTTCTCCAGATTGGGATTTCCTTTTTTTGTTAAATAGAAAATGATAGTAATAATGATCTGGGTTGAGATGTTGCACATCTGTAATCCCAGCACTTTGGGAGACCTAGACAGGAGGATCACTTGAGCCCAGGAGTTTGAGGTTATAGTGGGCTATGATTGCGTCACTGCACTCCAGTCTAGGTGGCAGAAAGACCCGGACTCTCTAAAAACTAAACAACAACAACAAAAAATAATGATAATGATGATGATAAAGGCTCCCGAGGACTTGTATGAGAATTCAATGTGAAATTCTCAGGACTGTATCTAGGACATAGCAAGTTCTCAATAAACAGTAATTTAAAAAAATTTTTGAGGCTGGTGTGGTGGCTCACCCCTGTAATCTTAGCACTCTGGGGAGGCCAAGACGGGAGGATTGCTTGAGGTCAAGAGTTTGAGACCAGCATGAGCAAGAGCAAGACCCCAATTCCACAAAAATACAATAAATTAGCCATCATGGTGGTGCACACTTGTATTCCCAGCTACTCAGGAGGCTAAGGCAGGAGGATCGCTGGAGCCCAGGAGTTTGAGGTTGCAGTGAGATATGATCACACTACTGCACTCTAGCAGTATATTTTCTTGGCATGGGATGAGAAAGAATTCTCGACACAAAGATTAGAATAGTTTTAAAGAAAGAAAGTTTATTTTATTTCCCAAAGGTGGGAAGGGCACAACACAAGAGAAAGAAAGGAGGTGTTGGCCTCAGGCTAAGGGGCTCAGAGCTTTTATAGGGAAAAAGGGTAAATAAACAGTTAATGTTGTGAGCTGATAATAGGAGAGGGCTGTGAGGCTGCTATGTCTGTTTTTCCTTTTTTTTCCCCCCTCTCTTCTCTCTGAGGCTGGCTAATTAGTGTCCTTGAAATGTGGTTCTGGCAGGAACTGGGGTGGAGAGCTGGCACCCTGCTGTCTGCCCAGGTCTCTTCAAGGCTGTTAAACTCTTAAAGAAGCCACAGGTGGTTAATCTTAAAGATGAGTTGAGCTCCAGGTGGTTTATCAAACAAGGGGTTGTGCTGTGAACTTTTCCTTCAGAGTGACAATTATGTGCTGTGAGTTTATTCCTCTTTTTTCTTCCTGTTAGTTTATTTTTCTCTGTTAGATAGTTTATTAGCAAGGCCATCCTATCATTGACTAGAGATAAAATTGCCTCATTAAGAGAATGGAACATCAAGGAAGCAGATCTTGTTAGAATGGAGAATGTGTGTTTTAAAATATGAAGAAATAAGGCCGGGCGTGGTGGCTCACTCCTGTAATCCTAGCACTCTGAGAGGCTAGGAGGAATTTGGATCTAGCTCTGCCACTTACCAACTGAGTGCCCATGGGAAAGTTACTTTATCTCCCTGGGTTTTAGTTTCCAACATCATAGAGGTTGTAAGGCTGGTTATGTGAGTTAATCCATGTAACACACTTAAAACAATGTCTGGGCTGAGTGCAGGGGTGCACACCTGTAATCCCAGCTACTCAGAAGGCTGAGGCAGGAGGATTGTTTGAGCCCAGGAGTTTGAGGTTACACTGAGCTATGATTGTGCTATTGCACTCCAGCTTGGGTGACAGAGTAAGTGAGATCCTGCCTCTAAAAAAAAAAAGTCTGGCTGGCACATACTTAGCATTTGGTAAGTATCAACTGTTTCTATGTCATAGGAAATGTACTGATATTGTTTTTGTTTGTTTTTTGTTTGTTTGTTTGTTTGTTTTGAGACAGAGTCTTGCTTTGCTGCCCAGGCTAGAGTGAGTGCTGTGGCATCAGTCTAGCTCACAGCAACCTTAAACTCCTGGGCTCAAGCAATCCTACTGCCTCAGCCTCCCGAGTAGCTGGGACTACAGGCATGCGCCACCATGCCTGGCTAATTTTTTCTATATATATTAGTTGGCCAATTAATTTCTTTCTATTTATAGTAGAGATGGGGTCTCTCTCCTGCTTGCTCAGGCTGGTTTCGAACTCCTGACCTCGAGCAATCCACCTGCCGTGGCCTCCCAGAGTGCTAGGATTATAGGTGTGAGCCACCACGCCAGCCTGATATTGTTTTTAGTAAAAGGAAAATCAAGTTCTAAGAGGTAGATACAGAAATAAATTCTGAAGGGGTTTTCTTAGAAAAAAACCCTCAGAATTCCAGGGAGAACTCCAAATGTAGGAACGGAACTTTTCTTGACCATAATTTGAAGCTCACAGGTTAAATGAAATGAATGATAATACTGGAGCTCAGAAACCAATACCCCAAAATGTGGCGCTTTGATTTGCTGAACTGAAGAAGCCTCAAGATCTCTCACCCTCCCCTTTTCCCCCAAAGTACAGGCTCTGAAGTTCCTTTACTGGCCTAAAGCCCAGACTCAGCAAGGAGAACAATAGGTTTTTCTTTGCCTCCCTGTTATCTCATTATCTATTGCAAAAAAAGAAGACCAAAGATATAACCACACTTGAACAGACCCTTTCTCAAGATAAAGACTGTCTCTCAGGGTCATTCAGATTCTAAACAACTATGTATAAATTCCTCAATCCATTCATTCTTTCTAGTAATCATGTATTGCCCCTCAACAGAATTCCTCTTCTCCTCTCTTCCATAACATGTTTTGCCAGGATGGTATAGAAGCTTTTGAATCCCATTGTGGGGTGGGTAATCACTCTGTTGTTTTCCCTGTGTACATGTTGATAAATTTGTATGCCTTTTCACTGACTAATCTTGTTTTGGGAGTTGATTTTTCAGTGAAACTTCAGAGGGCAAAGGGGAAGTTTTCCTGTTGGTTCCTACAGTACCAAAGGATCATCTATGTGGCTGGGACCCTTGGGACACAAGAGGCAGGCATCACTTAATTATTTGATGTCTACACAGGAAAATGAATTGCATGTCTTGTAACTGAAAGGGGCAATTGAACCATCTGTATGGACTTTTGTCTAGAACGGTTTATTTGGCCAAAAAGATTTAGGACATTCCCATACATAGAATTAAATAATAGTTCTTTCAATTCTGTTCTTCTAGTTTGGTGTGGCAACAATTTGACTCAAGAAAGAATGATATCATTCCCAAATGACTCATGGAGATAAAAAAAAAATATGAGAAAGAAAGAATGATAAAACCATGTGGCTGGTCATCTTTTGTGAAAACCCATACTGCTGGTCTGCTGATTACCTTAAACATAAAAACAAAAACGACATTAACAGTAGCCTCAGCAGTGAGCAGTGATAAAAAGCTAGCACTTGTTGAGTGCTGTTTATGTACGAAGTGCTATTCTAAGTGCTTTATATACATTATTTTGATTCTTGTTTAAGTACCATAGGGATGATTATTCCCTTTTTATCGATGCAAAAACTGAGGCTTAGAGAGGTTAAGTAATTTGGCCAAAATAACTAATCATTGTGGAGATGGGATTCAAACTCAAATGTTTCTGATTCACAAGCCCATGAGTCTAACCATCTCATTCTATACTTCAGAAGGTAGTGTGAGCATAAATTTTAATTATGTTGAGCTAAAAGGAAGAAGCTGAGGTAAAATTAATATTAAGTATCAGATTCAATTGTGTTAAAAAATTAATATTAAGTAGAGAGTTTATTTGGGCCAAGCTTCAGGAGTATAAGCCATAGATTCAAGTTGCCCTGAATATACACTCTGATTAGCAACAGTTACAGTGGATTTTTTTTTTTTTTTGAGACAGGGTCTTGCTCTGTCACCTGGCCTAGAGTTCCAGTGGCATCATCATAGCTCAGTGCAACCTCAAACTCCCGGGCTCAACCGATTCTCCTGCCTCAGCCTCCTGAGTAGCTGGGACTAAAGACATGCACCACCAGACTTGGCTATTTGTTTAATTTTTTGTAGAGACAAGGTCTTGCTATGTTACCCAGGCTGGTCTCCATCTTCTGACATCAAACAATCCTCTCCCCTTTGTCTCCCAAAGTGCTGGGATTACAGGCATGAGCCACCATGCCTGGCCAAGAACTTTATTTCTTATGCTAGGTTGCAAACTGCAGGTTGGGAAGGGGAGCCTTTGGCTGAGAATGAAAGCAGGCGGGGGTGGGGGGGTGACAGGAGTTTTATACTAAA